TCTAAAAGCCTCTGTAAGCCCTTACACTTCTATTTCGAATAACGGCGTTCCACCGACATGAATTTGCTCAGGAATTTCCACTGTGCGCCGTATCAGTCTTCACTTCCCGAGTTAAATTAAGGTTGAGTAACATGGTGCTTCTTTAAAAAAAAAAAAAAAAAATGTGCTCTGTTCAGAGTAACCATTCAGCAACCCGTAGGGGTGTCCCGCGCCTGTGAGAGGCACGGCCACGGCCGGTGGATGGTCACGAGCCGAGCAGCTGTGCCAGCGCCCTGGGCGCGCGGCACGGAAAAGCCGCCCTCTCGCCCAGGCGAGTGGGCATGCTTCTATTTTTAGAAATCAAATGCTTTATAAACTCCTATTTTCCATAGGATTATATTATTAAAAATCTTTATTTTCATTTATGATTTACCTTCAACTAGCTGTGACTCCCCGCATTTGATCCCCTCTCGCCTTCTGGCCAGATACCCAGTGAATTGTAAATTAATGTTGGAAGCCTACAGAAAGAACCACTGAGTAGTGTTTAAAAAGTAAAGAATCATGTCTTATAAGAGGGAATCCTGATAGCAAGCTTCTAATAAATCCTAAGTCAACTGAGTTTGTGAAACACACACACAGAGCTCCTATGCAAAATTTGTTATTCAAAGACAGTTTCCAGTGCATCAAAAACAGTATCTATTCAACAAGCTCCAAAGGACAGGAATTACATGCCCCTTTAATGAGATTCCATCTTCTATTCCTTGGGTTTTCTTAAATAACACATCTCTGAGCTGCAGAATGACCTTTCAGAAAAGTCACTCTAAAGAGACAACCCGAGTGGCCCAAGGCAAATCCCAACCAGAGGACATCACAAATGGATCGACCCTTCCAGCAGTCAGTGGCTCAAGTGTCGGCCTAGCTGATTCTGTCAGCTTTGAATGACAAAGACAAGTGTTGTTCTAGGTATACTCAAAAGTGAAAGAGAATTTTTAGGTTTCCTCTGAGGTCAACCACGCGTCCTCGGAGTCACAGGGCCTGCTGTGGAGGCACTTGCCTATTTGCAGTTCTTCCTGCCCTGCCCTCCCCTTCCACGGCTTCCCTGTGGGTCAGACCCACCTCCCGAGCCTGCTGAGTTTGGGTCTGGCCGTGTGACTCCTCTGGCCAATGGAATGTGGGCAGAAGAGAGGCAGTGGGGCTTTCAGAGGTTCTGAGTGTTTCCTGTCACCCCCATCTCCCACGGTCACCCGGGGGAAGAGCACAGCCCAGGGCGGGCCCCACAGTGAGAGACAGGTGGCGCCGAGTGAAGCAACCCCATGGACTAAGGGACTCCAGTCCCTCCACAGACTCGTGGGTAAGAAATAAAGATCTGCACATGGGCTGCTGTCAGAGTAAAAGCCAACAGGGTGGCCAGCCAAGACAGGGCTCCGGGATATTGATCTTCGCTGGTACCGCTCTGTTCCAAATGAAAATGACCGTGTCCATTCTCCAAAACAGCGTGCGGAACCAAACCAGCTTCCATTTCTGGATGTCCCCGCCAGGCACAGGCCAAGCATCCACCTGCCAGCTCGATGTCTCCTGTGGCGGTCTCCTCTGAAGGCACATCCACCATCCAGGCTCGGTAATTTGAGAAGCTCTTCTGCTCAAGTCAAAGCACCCTGGAGGCAGAACCTGTGTCTGATTCACCCTGTGGCACCTCAAAGAGTGTGCTGCACCTCTTAGCCACTTGTTAATGACTCTCTATTCCAAGTCACGGTTACCAGCACTTCTCATTATTGTCCCTACCCCAAAGTGACCTGAGTCGCCAAATTTTTCCTATAGTTGAAGTGACAGAAAAGACTAGGTATGATCTTTCGCCCTGAATACACAGGTGAACTCAAGTATCCAGCAACGAATGATGCTCGGGACCGCCGGCCTACACGCGTGGACTCCTCCCACGGGCCCGTGGCTTCCTGCGTGAATCCTGAGATGGAGAATGGGGGGCTGCCTGGCCCTGCTCCTGCTGTCCACACAAACAAGCAGCACACGTGTGTCACCAGCCAAGGTACAAATCCGAGGGGGGGCCCGCCAGGGGCCCGTCCACCCCTTCACTGGAGCCCTGTCCTGTCCGAAGCCTCTTTCTCACTGGTCCTGGTCCCTCTCTCCCCAGCTCTCTCCCCCGCGGTCCCGTCTTCTCCATCACCCTCTGTCACCCAACTCACCCACGTTCTGTTCTTTTCCTCTTCTTCTCTGTTATTTTTTGTTCTTGCCTCTCCCTTCTCTGCCTTTCTTTCACACTTTTGAACCTTGGTAAAGGAGACATCACCGGGCACGGAGCACACTCCTCCCCCGCACAGTGGAGTAGCCACCTGCCACGCACCAGAGACGAGGCCAGGCCTCCACGTCGACAGAAGCAGGTGTGCGCCCCGCAGGATGCTCGGGGCCTCCACAGACCTCCACCCAGCCTGCCGGCTACGTTCGCCTTTGCATCATTAGGCAAATGTGAAGACAGGGACTGTTTCCAGAGCTTGTCCAAAATCCCGCTGAACCCCATGGTCTATGCACATTCTGTCCATCAGAGCTGTGCCGAAGGAAAGATGTCCTCAAAGACGCTGAATTCAGTAATAATCGTATGTCATTCCTGCAATTTCTACTCCTGGTTTTAAGTGAGATTTAATGATATGAATGAAATTGTAAATACATTTCCTATTATATTTAGAAGTAGTCTAAAACTCCTAAAGTACAGTCACAATGGTAACTCGCATATAGTTGTCCTTTCCTCCCAGCATATCCTTTCCCCTTTTATTCTGAAAATGGCATCCACTCCCTTCTGCTGAGAACTGTCACCCCTATGTCACCCTGAAAGCCCATAGAACAATGGGACTCAAATACATACTGTCGTTTTCTTACTCAGCCGAGCCATGGGCATGGAGCGCGCCCTTGTCCAACGCTGGCCGAAGCCGACCTTTGTGTGCACAGGCCAGGGCATGTGACCTGAGCTGACCCAGTCACAGTCATTCCCCAAGGACAAGACGAGAGCTCCCACTCAGGCAGTGACAACATTGGCCTGGTGGCACCCAAGGACCTGGGTCTCCTGTCCCCAACGACACACCATCCTGCCTTCTGCGTGGGTCCATGCGAGCCTTCCCATAAACCCCTGTGCATCTTTGTCAATGCAAGCCGTTTTTCTGTACCCAGTAGCCAAGGAAATTCCACGTAACATAGTAATCACACTCCAAGGTAGCAAATCTGAATTCCTGGGACTACTGTAAGAAATTCTAATGTCTCTGCCACAAACTTACTAGTAGTCCACAGACCGACGTTTAAGAATGACACTACTAACACTTTCTTGATAAGACGATCGCCTTTTTTTTTTTTTTTTTTTTTTTTAGCGAATGTAGTAAAATTCCTCTTAACAGTAGCCATAAATATAGGGGTTCAGTGGGTAAGTACTGGGCAGAGCACATGAGGATTGAGATTCTCTGACTGCCATATGACCCTTTGGAATATCAGACCCAAGGTCAGGAGGTGCCACGTTCTGGAAAAATCCATCTCAGGAGAGTGATGGTTGTGTAGCAAAGGCAACACTAATGAAACTGGAGAAAATCATTATTAATGTGGTTATTTGTTACCAGGAGTCACATACCTATGGGTGGAGTCAAATGGACCCGAGGAACCAAACCTAGACTTGGGCAGCAGGGGACAAGGCCGTTTTAGTCTCATATGAAGGTCTTTTTTCAAAATCTCAACCAAGAAAGTCTAGCCTTCCCTAAGGATTGGGTCTATGATGCAGCTGCCAGGACGTCACTGGGCACGCAATGTATTCAAAACTCAGGAGGCAGGGAATGTAAAACCCAATCTGCGCTAAATGCATTAAACTGCATTTGGGAACAAAGCCCCCCCGCCCATGAACCCCCCTCCTCCTGCTGACCCTGCAGTCAAAGAGCTTTGCTTTCAAAGTGAGTGACCAGCTTGCTTGGGGCTGGCGACCCCTATGGAGGGAACCAGAGGGACGAGGGGTGGGCTCAGAGTCCCCTGCCCAGCGGAAGGCCCCAAGCGCCATCAAATGACAGACATAGAGCCAATGCTCAGACAGCCCCCTTGAGACCCTCGGCTTCAGCCCAAGAGCACCCGTCTCTGGACCTCACTGACTGCCCGCGCTCGGGAGGCGAGCTGGTCTTCACTGCAGTGAATACAGAGAAAGGCCAGTGCACGCTGACTGCGCACGGCTGGAGTCTAGTCCCCTAGCGAGTTTTCACACACATGCGCGCACACACGCTGCTTATTCTCTGTACAATTATAAGCTCTTAGGAGTTTATACAGTCATTTTACTTATTTTTTTTACACAGCTATTTAGCATGATACATGAACTTAAAACATGCCAATAATGGAAGAAAACAAACCATATAACAAAATGCAAATTCTTCTTAATTGCATAAATGTATTTAAACAGCTAAGTTTTAGACATCTACTTTAGAACAATAATGCTTTCTCTAAGTTATTCCAGAAGACTATTTGCATACAGCTTTTGGAAATCTCCACTCCAAAGCTCCTCATTTTAACTTTTCCGTCAGCACCATGCCTAAAGAACACAGTAGACTATCTGAAACCAGTGCCCTCAACTTTTCTACCTACTGGATATACATTTGACCCAAACCCACCCTGTATCTGCAAAAATACTTTGGTCTTTAAAAGGTATTTAGGTATGGAATCAAATGGGATTAATTAAAATGTCTTAAAATCCCAAGCCATATCCACAGACTATGATGTCATTTAGCAAAATTTCTTTAAATCCCCATTTACAATTCCTTTGAAGAAACTAAAGATACAGAGAAAAACCTGGTAATTATTTTTTTCTGCCTCTCCTCTGATTATGACTCTACTGGAACACCTGATAAAGAAAATCCATAAAGTTAAATTTCAGTTCAAGGTTTTTGTAAAACCCTCCCACTCCCAGCTCAGAACCGAGGTAGACAAAGCTCATCCCCAATGTCTGAGAAACAATGGAGCATGTACTGTAAGAATGAAGGCATGTGGGTTGTCACCTGCATTGAAGCTCCCTCCACTCTTGCCACACAGGCAACCCGGTCGAGGAAGGTCACTGCCACAGGCACCGCCACAAAAAAGCCTTTACAAAAGGCCTTGAAGTATCTTCTCACCCAGCCTTGAGATTGCGCCATGCCTGCAAACACAAAGAAAACAAGTATGAAATGAAGTCTAAAACAAACATCAAAAACAGGGGAAAAGGAAGACACAAAAAAGCAACCAAAGAAAAACTGAGTTAAGGAGAAGCACTTTCTTCTCAATATATTTCATGCTCCTCCTTGTAACCACTGGGATAAATTTGACTTAAAACCCCAAAGGCAAATGCATTCACTCTGGTTAACTCTTTCCAGTAGCTGCAGTCCACTTGATAACTGTAGTGGAAAATTTTTCCTCACAAACCAAAAAGGAAGAAAAACAGTAAAAACCATAATGGATATGCTCCTCATACCCTCACACCTATTCTGCTCCACAGTAACAGAAGTTTCAATGAGACACTTCAGTGGCTGCCCAGCCTCCCTTGCAGCTATGTGTGACCATGTGACCATGTTTGATGACTGGCGGATGAGCAGAAATGACATGCTCCCACACTGTGCCCTTAAAAGGAGTATGCTATCCCTTTTCTGTGGCCCATTTTATGATACCTGTGATAATGAGGGGGTGATGTGAGCAGGGGCAGCCATTAAAGTTAAAGGTGGCAGAACAACAGGAGGGTCCCAGGTCTCCGGCACCATGGAGGCACCGTAACTGCCCCAAAGGGCTGAGAGAGAAATCACTCTCCATCACTTAAAAACTCTTACTAAGCACTACTGTCTATTTTTTATATAAATTTATATACACATAAAAATATTTAAAATAGAATATTACTTGTATTATTGTCTTATTTAACTAACCCCCATATATCACTTGTATAATTAACATATAGAGAGACTGAAAAAAGCAGTCTTATCAAAATGCTAAGAATGGTTAATGCCAGAGGCTGGGGATGTAGAGGATGACTATTTCCCTCCTTGAACTTCTGTTGGTTTCTGACCTTTAAAAAAGTAGGAAGGGTTGTCCTCAGAAGCCACTTTACTAGATAGATAACTAATGGGTAATGCCCGTCTGGATCTCTCTCCCATCACAATGAACAAGCCCCACGCCCTCAGGCAAGGCTCTCTGCTGCTCCGCGCAGCACAAAACCACTGAGCAGGACTCCCCTACTCCCCCAGCGATCGATACCCCTCACTGAGTGCACTCGCTTTGCGCAGCCATTGCAGGCGATGGTGCAACTCTGCGCTTCTGACAACTGCTCGAGAGCTTGAACTTAGAAATTGTTACTTTTCTACTCACACACAGTAAGCACTTTAGTTCAAACAGGAAAAAAGAAAGAAAGAAAGAAAGAAAACGCTGACAATTCATAGTACAACCCACCTGACTACTCACTTGCCTACTTTAGGCAGTGACATAGTTAACACACTGGCTGTAAACACACGGACCCAGGCTTGCTTAAATATTAAGCCAAAATACACTGTAATGATCGGGTCAAAGAGGCTCAGGCACCTGGAGGAATTAGCCTCAAAAAAATAAATGGATAGGACAAATGCAAATTGAAAAACACGCTTCTGTACATCTGAGGTTCTTCGGCTAAAAAGGAGCAAACAAGTGACAAAATAAAAAGAGCACATGTTCTCTTTGCTGTCCCTTGTGCCCTGCACGCTAGAGATGCCTGCGGGATAAACACGAAGGAAGTCCTCAGATAGGACAATGGCACAGCCACCCCCGTCAGGAGGCAGCGCGCACGCCTGAACTATGACGTAAGGGAAATAAAGACGCGCTAACAGCAGCTGCACACGTTCAGATTCTGAGACCTGTGAGCCTCCCCGGTGTACGCCCCCCCCCCGCCCCCCGCTGCTACCCCATCCAGTGGCTGCGGCACCCGGGACAGAGCACGGCAGGGTCAGCCGGCCCGCGGTGGCCTGGACCCAGCTGCGCGTCGGGTCGGCTCACGCCTGGGCCTCAGTTTCCTCACCCGTAAAACAAAGGCGTTCGATTCAATGTCCCAGGTCCCTCCTGTGCCCCGCCCTCCGTGGGTCTGTCCGTGTTCACCTGTCCTCAGGATTTGTGTAGCCAGTAAAAGAGAGAAAAGCACTCGGACTAAGAGGAGAGACAGAGCTGCCCTCTAGGTTTGAGACTTTCGGTGCTGAAGGGAGAAAACACTTTGCTGTTACGAAACTACTAATTTAAAAGGGAAACAAAGCCGCTGGGCCCAGGCCAGGCCGCACACAGGAAGAGTTTAAGAACCGGGAAAGAGCCGGAAGCCGCCGCCCCTGCACCTCTCACCGCCAGGTTCCGCGGTTCCGCGGCTCCGCGGCCACCGTCCCCGCGCCGGAGTCGGGACGCGCCAGGGCGCGCGTTTCCTGCCGGGACAGCCGCAGAGGGCGCGGGCAGCGTGCGGTCGGCAGGCCGGCGGAGGCTGCCCCCACCAGGGCCAAGGGAAAGCCGCGAGCACCCAGGCGGTCGCCCGGAAGTCTCAGTCCGGCCCTGCCCCCCTGCACTCGGAAGGACCCCTTCCCGTCATGCCCACGGGGCCGACATGAACGTGCTTCCTTTTCTATGTGAATTGCCCAAGAATTATTGGGGTGACCTGGTCTTCTCTTCACACCGTACATGTGGAGAGCTACTCATACGCCATACTGATGAGCACCTAGTATCTGCCTCCTCTGAGAAAACTTCCTTTAAGCAATTACCCGGGGGTACTAACATCATCCCTGGCAAAAGGGAATAATTTTTATCAATAACATTATTCTTCGAGAAACCACGCACGCCACTTCAGGTTCAAAACATTGCTCCTGAGAAAAAATGACTGCTTAAGTAGGAGGCGCACTTGGTTCATTGCCGAAGTTCTCAAACGGAGAACACTTTTAAATAAGCTTTCGGATTCAGCGGGAATCGTATTCGCCCCTTGGCATTCAGCGGCTGGACCTGAAGGTTTCTCCTGACCCTGTCTTCTGCCACAGAGCAACCTGCCCTGCAAATGCCTCTCTTTCCTCTCCCGACTTGTTAGGGTTTGATCATGCGTACGCTCATCTAAATTATTATTAAACTTGCCTATATTTTATCCCGCATAAAGGCACAATCACTCATCCATAGCAACCAGGCAGATGAATACCTCTCAGGTCACCTTAATTATTAGAAAAACCATCTGAAAATGGTGTGGGAGGTTTGAAGGTAAGAGGAAAATAATAAATTACAAAGCAATCTCTTTTAGAACACGGAACCTTCCAATCACATAAACTTGCACAATTGGATCGCCAAACCCAGATTTTCTCTCTTCACTCAGACTATGATCAAACGATGAATACCAGGGAACATAAGGGATCCAGGCAGACCTGACACCCCGTCCCTGACTCGTACTTCCTGAGCTCCTGCTACCTGTCTGGGAACCGGGCCGGGCAGAGCGCACGACGCAGACCAGGGTCCTTGGTGGCGCGGAGCTGGCGTTTTCCTCCTGGCCTGCTCTGTGCTGGATACTGTGCTGAGACAGGCCAGGTGACCGCCCCTTCCCAGAGGGACCTGTAGCAAGATCACAGCAAGGGGCAGGTGGCAACACGTGATCAGGGTCCACCTCCCTCTGCGTCCCGCCAGGAGCTCCTGGGACCAGCACCCTCGCTCTCCAAATGCAGCACGTGCGACACCAGTAGGCGTTTCGAGACACGTGGTCTAACGCGAGGGGGAAATAACAACCGATGAACTAGAACAACTTCGATTCCACCAGAAGCAGGCTGGGAAAGTAATCTATGGAAAGCAATTCAAAATTAAAAATTTCAGGGCCACCTTGCTCCTGTCACATTACAAAGAAATAATACCTTGTAAAAAGACAAGTGATAGTCTTTACAGTGTGAGTCCACAATAAACCCTTCACCTTTGAACGTGTCTGGCTTAGCAGTTCTCACTTGAAAATTCTCAAAAAGGACAAAATGCAAGAAAAAATAAAGAATGATGAACAACTAGCCAAAAAATAATAAAGGGGAGAAACGTAATGGGGTTAGACATAAAGTGAATCATGTCTGGCAAGGACACCCAGTAAAAAGTCAGTGCTGGTCGTCTGATGAAGGGAAGGGGTCCCCTATCTTGACCTAAAAACTGCTTCTCTGACAGAGACCATTGTAACTTTCTATTGGTAAACGGACAAGCGTCTGGATACTGAGAAGAGAGGTTAAAACTGACATATTTAAGTCGGGAGTATTTAAAAGCAAATGAAGCCCAAGGACACGTTCTATCACAACTGTGACAGAGAAAACACCACAGAAAACAAGTGGGATGCACAAATTCACAAAGGCTTCCTGAGGTTTCGGTGGGGGCTCCTTGAACCTGTCAAGGTCATGCACTCGCAGCCTCCCCTTGCCCCACCCCCCCAGGCCGAGGCAGTGCTGGACACAGGCAACACCCCTGGGTGTCCGGGGGGGGTGTGGGAGGCTGGCGGGCCTCGGTTCACGTCGCGATCCAGTCATGTCACTTTGAACACACCACTTCATTGTGCCAAGCCACAAGGTTTTTTTAAAGAATTTTTATGAGTTTATTTGGCCGCACTGCCCTGCCAGGGAGCAAGACCTCAAATGTCCCCGAGCCACCATTTTTCCCTCTGAGAATCCCTGAAAGGTGTTTTGGAGGTTTCAAAATGTCCATATGTGCTTTTTTCAAGGAAGCATAAAACTAGTATCTGAATACATTACGTGGAATGTGTTGGGGAACAACAGCTAGATCATCAACTGAAAGGTATTTGTTTGAGGAAAGCATCAATCATTGTCTAAAGAAGAGGACTGGCAACAGCAAATCAAGGACGGCTAACAGCGCAGGGACATCCGGCACCACCAGCAAAGCCTGTCTCCCAGGCGGTGGGACGCCCAATGCACAGAGTGACAGTTTCATTCTGCTTTGACCCTGACCTTGTAAGACTGGACTGGGCGGGACCATCTTATTTCTTGATATTGGCCAATGACCAAGAATTATGGAGTGTTTTGAGAATTTATTTTTAAAAGCAGAATAAAAGAAAAATATAACAGCGCTGGAATTGGAGCAGAGGAATGAGTTGCATAATAATCACTGCGGAGAAAAAAAAAGGTAACAGCTAGAATTGCAAGAAACAACCTCATGACA